ACATTGCATAACTTGAATCTGCAATGGGCTAACTTGTGAGTTAGCAGGTTAGCCCATTTATATTTTTTAAAAAATAAACAAATAAAATTTATTTTAAAGTGAAGCTTTTAGAGCAAGCATGCATAAAATTACAATCTAAATACATGACATTAGAACATTTATTTAATTCAAGTTTAAATTATGGCAGAAGATAATGAAAACACACTATTTAGATGTAAGTTAAATATCTCAAATTATAATATCATATATTTTTTGTCTAGATAAATATGTGATTTAGAAATTACCAACCATTTTGAATAATTAATTAGATTTAGTCATTTATGTTCTCTTAATGTTGAGGAATGCTAAAACCTAAACAAACAAAAATTGTGTCTATGAAAAAGAAAAACTTCACAAAATGCAAAGACTAGAAAACGAAAGGATCACAAAGTTAAATTTGTTTACATTTAAATGGTGATATAAGCATAGCTTGATTAGAAGCATTTTTGTTATTATTTGGACAATTAGTTTTTAGGGGAAATATGTGATTTTTTTACCACAAAAAAATAATAAAAAAGGTGAATTTGTAATTTTAAAAATTTAAAAATATTATAAAAAATATGTTTTTACTGGCGGGTTGGCCTACTAACCCACTAATTCACTGCAAGTTGACAAAATTACAACCCGAGTAGAATGCAGGTTATGCCAACCCACCCCGCCTTGCCAAGCCCACAATCCACTACGGGGCTAACTTGTGAGTTGATTCATATTATTAGCTCGAAAGGCATTATGACCTCCATTATAAATATAAGGTGTTTTTGGAAAGTCCTATGTAATTTTTTTGGTAAATAAAAGTTAAGGTGAGTTAGGTTTGGTACACTCACTAAGATCAAAGAGTATTTATAGATGTACTTATAAATTGCTTATTAACAAAATCTTTACATTAGTAAGAAAATTTAAACCCATGACCTTATAGGTTATAAATCAAATTCTTATTCATTAAACCAATCTTTATTGGTAAGTCACATGCATTTTAATTTGTAAGGCATTCATGAAATTACCAATCATTAATCATATGTTTATAATGGGAGGTAAATAATTTTCATATACTTCTATTGGTATTTCAGGTTAAAAAGATATTAATTAATTGTCCTTAAAATTCTGTAAAATATTTTATTATATTATAACGTAGGCTTTTTCAAAAATACCTTGTGCTTGAAATGATGGTATTAATGTCAATATGTGTTGGTCCTTGTGAAAGGGATTATGAGCGCTTGAGCACATAATTTTGAGTATGTATGAATGTAAAAATTGTTTGATTTGTTTAATTACTGTGTTAATGTGTTGAAAGATAAGTCTCTCATTGCCTACGTGAGAGGGAAGGTCTTAGTATTTTTTGTAAAAATATTTTTGACAAAAAATCAAAAACATTAATTTAAAAAAGCATTTTGGAAAAGCCTTTATTTACCTAACTTTAAATTTAAATTTAAATAATAAATTTATTTTCCCTTGTTTACCTTGGCAGAAAAAGGTACTCCCTCTCTTACTTCTAATTATCACATTTCAATATGCTAATTAAATTGGTTGCAATGTCCACTCTTAATGCCATTTTATTTTATTTAAACAGTGGCATTATTAGCCATTAACCACCTATTATTCCTTTTAATAATTGAACGGATATGTTTGCATTGAGTTTCAAACATATCAAACAGTGGCTTAATCCATACATTATTTCTATTGATAGTTAAAAACGGATTTGCTATCTCCAACGTCCAGAAACATGCTTCATAAATGATATATGTATACACACACATATATTTTAATGAAATGGTAGAATGATATTTTATTAAAACAGTGGGGTGATGACAATTAAATTTAGTAATGGTGCCGGTGGAATAATATTTTGAAGTGATTGTTTGTTTTAATAATATTTTATTTCAACTCTTTTTTTATACATATTTTATTTCAACTCTAAATGTTGGGTTAATGCTCCTTTAGTTTAGTTTTATTGTTATTGTGAGGTTTATGCCTAAAAATATTTGTGTGTGCATGAGACTACCTCTGAACTTTTGAGTTTTTGGACAACTTTCTTCCTCTCTTGTGCTTTATTTTTTGAGTTCAATTTTTTTTAAAATTATTTTTACTGTTTTGTCACCTATTTATTTTTATAAGAAAGTTTCATTTAATCTTGTGGAGTTCCAACCCCTATGCCGGAATTGTTCTCAAGGACAATATTATTGAGCATAACTCAAAACATATTTTATACATGATACACCAACAAAACATCATTAGGAGAGCTAAAAAAAACATAGGAAGTATTATAGTTTGTGAACAATCATAATTTATCAATTATTGGAATTCAAAAATGCTAATTATAACATCATATTCATGAATCAACATGCATATGGATGGGTTCTTGGATAATTGTTTTCTTTTTCTTTTTGGATATCCATTGCTTTTGTTTTTTTTTTTCAAGAGAATAACAGATAGATCACAGAATAATCAATTAATTCAAATCAAATCTCAAATATCAAACTTTAAAAATTTATAAGTTCAGCTAACACGAGTTACAAATTTATCCTAACAAAGTTATAAAATTAAGATGAACTTGTAAATTTTTAATTTTAATATTTGAGACTTAATTTAAATTAATAGATGTTCTTGGGGCATATATGACATTCTCCCTTCTTTTTCTATACATGGTATTGAGTGTAAGAATAGCATTCTTGTACGAGAAATACATATGTTTGAATTGAATGAGATATACCAAGCTCCTTGAGTTAAGTACTCAATGATTGAGTTTATAAACGAGGCTCCATAAAGTGCTGGTCATACATGTGATTCACATTCTTCTCTCAATCTGTCTCTCTTTCTTTACTTTTTTTTTTTGGAGTTAAATACAAAGAAAACCAAATCACAACTTCTGACTTATACACAAACTTTTATACCATTAGACAACAAGTTCAAGAGCTCTTTCAGATTCAGTGTAATGAGTAGGTTTTTTTCATTTAAATTGTTACATATGTAAGGGCTGAAATTTGAACCTTAACCACATGCTTAAGTAATGAAAAGCTTTAGCACTCACTAATTTTAGTTAGTTAATTATTATTATTATTATTATTAAGGCACTTGTATATAGGATTGTAAAGTATTTCTTCCGTTAAAAAATGTAAAGTATTTTTGATCGAATCTCATCATTCAATAAAGTAGTTACCTATTTTTCAACTAACACTATCTTTTCATATTAATTCTATTAAACACCTTATAATAAATATAAAGTCATTATCAATATGGGTATTTTTTTAAAAAATAATGATTATATTTCGAAAGACTAAAAATGTTTGTATTTTTTAATATTAAATTTTTTAAAAAATATTTTATATTTTTTAACAAAAAAAATATTTAATAAAAATATAATTAGAAAGACGTATATAAGTTTTGAAGAGACTAAAATTTTATCTAGCTTTTTTAAGAGAATGAAGTGATTGTCAATGTCTTGTGCCTCTATGATAGCCGCCATACAACTACTTATTTAAGCATTCAATTCAAATAATAATAATAATTAATTATTTTAATATTTAATAAAATAATAAATAAAATTCAAGCCCCCTGCCTCGGAGAAGACTATAACGTCCCGGTCGGAAGTCCAAGACTTAAAGCAGTAAACAAAGAAAGTAGCGCGCTCCCGCTTCACTGACCCAGATCTGCCCTAACCGCCATCATCGTACTGTCTCTGCCATCCTCTAGCGCCATCTCGCCACCACCTTCCTCCAGGCATTGGATTCTCCATTTTCTTCTCTCGTTATTTGTTTCTTTGTTCTTTTGTTTTTTGTTGTCCATGTCTGCGTTCTCACGGTCATTTTTCGTACAAGTCTGTTCCGTCTTCTTTTCCACGCGTCGCCGGACAGAGAATTGAAATTTCTGATGATAGTTATTTTTATTGGGCTCCAATTCCGTGGGGATTATATGAGAATTAGTTAAAAGCAATGAAAGGAAATTGTGGGAATTTATAGATTGTCAAATAATTATGGACTCTAGAATTAAATAGCTACCCACTGACGCTCCCGTACCCATACATCGTAATCCTCTTGTCTCTGGTGTTGTTTATCATACCTAGATACTGATAGAGCATGTAAACAACTACACATCATCGTAGATATATATTATTTTTCAAGGGGAATTTTGGGGTCAGCATAACTTTCTGATATTTGGAAGTATTATTGTGTGGATAAGTGATTTTTATTACGTTACTGTAGTAGTGTTGAACTTTATTAGGTTATTATGGAGTGAGATCCTCTAGGGTTTAATTTAGTGTTACATTTCCTATGGCAGATACTAGAATAAATTTAAGTTTCACACGAAGAGATTGTAGTTGATCAATTTTGGCTTTTCTATCTACAGTTTTGTTAATCCCAGCTGACATTTTGTGAAACTTTGTTGCGGATCTTGGAGCCTTAGTTCTATGATACAGAATGTTTAGCTTTTCAGTTTGCAAAATTGCATAATACATGTTAGTCTCTCAGCTTTTATATTTATTTCTGGAGGAGAATGGACTTTACTTGATTATGAAGAAGCATTTGGGAAATCTGAATGCATGGCTTTGTTGAACTCTGACAGCAGGAAATAGTAGTTTGCTTACTTTGGCAGCATCCCGATCTAGGATAGCAATTGTTAGATGATTCCTTAACTTTTGAGGCAAAGACATTGTCTAAATATGGAAAAAGGTTATGTGAACAGTTTCTAAAATTACTGCTGAAGTTTCCATTTTTGCTTCAGTTTTCATCTTTGGGGACTTATAAATAATCAAGTATATTTTTTGTTTGTTACAAAAGTGTAACCGTGCATGAGATTTTTGTAATTACTTAAGGCACCTATTTGCATGTTTCAACTTTCAACTACGTATCTTGCATTTTATATTTTTATTCTGATATGTTTAACTTTCAATTTAGGTGGTGTGCACGCTGAGAAACATATTGCTACTGAGCTCTTATGTCGATTCCCCTCTCTCTTCATATGTTTGTCTTCCATTAGCAGACTGATTCAGAAACATTATTGATTTCCATGCGCGGTAAGAATCATTGTCGTTATCCAATAATTCTGAATTGGGTCTGCAGCTCCTGTGTTGATTCGCATTTTCATAAGTGCTACTCATGTTATGTGGTAGGAACTAAGTTATTCTGTTCACTGATTTGTGTATCTATCCAGTTTCGGTTTGTGTTTTTATTTATGGTTATGAATCTTGATGGAGTCCTCAGGAAGACAGAAACCTTATTATATTTTCATTCTAACTGAATAATTTGTAAAAGGTCTTTTCTGGTGCTCTTTCACACTTTTTTGTCATTATTATATGGACCATCTCTTGTTTAACAGTGGCAATTGAAGCGCTACTGAATTGACTTTAGTTTATATCATGCAGGAAACCATTTGAACTACCTCAGATCTCCAGTTCAATCAAAGTCATTTTGTATCATTGGGATTTGTTATTAAATAACTTACCAAAATGGGGACACGACCTCAGCAACCATGTCGAGAGGAAGAGGAGGATGAGCTGCTAGGTCGTGGAACAACACTTTCTGGCCAATCAATTTCCACGAGTAAAAGTGTAGGGTCACCATCCAGTCGGAGTGAGCAGACAATGGCTACGCCGGCTAGTGATAACACTTTTCTAAGACTTAATCATCTCGACATCCATGGTGATGATGCTGGATCCCAGGGAGCAGTTGCGTGAGTTCTCTGTTATTCTGTGAGGTTCTAGTAAATGTGTAGTTTTTAATGCTCTGCGCATTGGTGGCTTTCCTTTTCAAGGTTGTGGCAGATTACACTGTTGAATGTGGTTTGTTTGTTTATTTCCTGATGTACACTGAATTGTTTTGTTACTAGTTGTGGTTAAAGGCAACATGTGCTCACACATTTATATAGTTTTGGAATTAGATATTGATATGAATTTTTAATTAGTACTTGGAAGTGTCAATTATATGCATGTGGTTTTACAACTTTCTAGATGATTTTTATGTTTTTGGTTTACAAAGTGATTCTATTCTTACTCATTCTTGGCTTTTGAACAGAAGCAAGAAGAAAAAGAGAGGCCAGCGTGCTGTCGGAGGTGACAAGAGTGGAAGGGGGCTTCGCCAATTTAGCATGAAAGGTTTTTTATATGTCCATCTTACCTTTTTGTTCTTGTTTTTAATTGCCCAGCAGAGTTGCATCTTGCATGCTTTAATAATTGCAAATTTATGGTGATTTATTTTTATATGCTTTTGCTCTTAACACAGATTACCCGACATTAATTTTATGTAGTTGCTGCTCGTGTTTACTCAGTAATTTATTGTTGTTTCTCTGCAGTATGTGAAAAGGTGGAAAGTAAGGGAAGAACCACTTACAATGAGGTTAGGTGATTTCTTTATTATCTGTCACATGTATTAATTCTTTGCTTCAATTTTATGCAGTAGGTTATATAATGAATTTGTTATTGTTGGGCAAAAAAGAGAAGAAAAGTAATATGCCAGGCTGTATTATTGTCTTTAAGGTGGAGGGAGAGTAGTGAGATGTTAAATCTTGGTGCTCAAATTTTAGTCATGAATATGGTAGATTCTGGGGAATTTCTGGGGAACTTATAGTAAAATTCTAGGGAACTTCTTGGGAACTCGAAGAAATACAGAAATAGATGATAATGAAGGGAAAGGAAGGAATTCTTTATGAGATTATGAGCCAGAATATGAAGTTCATAGTCTAATAAAGCCAAAGGGAGAATTTCAAAGATATTAGACTGGATAATACTTCACATCCATTCTCTAATCGTCAGTGCAGTGCATATATATTACAAGGAAATTAACTGACATTAGGATAACTGAACATAATTAACTCCTTGGAAGTTGACAGTGTACCCTCATGAGAAATTGACGGCAGACAACACATAGGAAACTAACTCTAGATGATTGATAATACATTAGACCACATATGATGATACATGAGGGAAGTTTCTCCCTCTTCATGACAGAACTATCCATATACCCTCCCAACTTTCTCCTGTTTCAACTTTATATGAGTCATGATATTCTATCTGAACAAGTTAATGTCTCTCATTGGTGTCTTGGAGACTTGAGAAGCTCTTTAGGTTCTGAATATAATTCATGAAGCTAGATATGGAATTGCAGTTGTGTAATGCATGCTAAGTCCTCTAATCACCAATACTATTATCTAGTAACTGTGAAATCATATTCATATTTGGGCTTAGATTTCAAATGGGATTCCCAATCAGTAAACTTTGTAACTACCAAGCATTTCACTGTTGTTGCATATTAAATGGAAGGTATGAGGGCCTATTTGGCATGGATACAGGGTTACTGCATAGGTTTAACTGGTGGGATGAAATAACAATATGAAGAAATATAATAATAAGATAATTTGCATTGTTGGCAAATTATGTTGTTGTTGTACCTGTAGTTTAGGAGACTTTTTCTGGCATTTACATGTTAGAATTGTTTGAATGGTGTTTAAATGGTTCTGGGGAAAGGTTGACAATCAGGATATCTTTTGGCGTGGTACCTATCCTGCCAGGTCTTTCTTTGTTTCCCAACATGTTACAGGAACTGATTGAGTTAGATTCTTCGCAAAATATTGTCTTTTCTTTCTTTGGACAAGTTGCTAATCTCCACTTTGTTTCCTTCAATTTAATGTGTCTGAAGATTGTAGTTTATTCTACTAGGTTGCAGATGAACTTGTGGCTGAATTTGCTGACCCAAGCAGTAGTGTTTCAACTCCTGATCAGGTTTGCGCTCTCTTAATTCTATCCATTGCAATATACTAAATGAAAGTTTCAGTTAGATGTTCTTGACTTATTGAGTGCAAATACTTGACAGCAACAATATGATGAGAAAAACATTCGTCGAAGGGTTTATGATGCTTTGAATGTTCTCATGGCAATGGATATAATTTCCAAGGATAAAAAGGAAATTCAATGGAAGGGTCTCCCTCGTACAAGTCTGAATGATATTGAAGAATTAAAGGTTTGCATACATTTTCACATGATCTTTAATGGGTCAACTGATTTATGCTTTCCCTTCAATGTTCTGAGATAATGCGAAAATGCACGGAAGGATCATGACACGTCTAATGTAATTTATCCAGTCGGAGCGTCTTCAGCTTAGGAATCGGATTGAAAAGAAAGCTGCCTACCTGCAAGAGCTGGAGGAGCAAGTAAGTTCTTGTTAATGGATTTAATTTTGGGAATGAAATACCAATTTTTCAGTTCAAAGAATTTATTGTTGTTTCCAGTTGGAATGTGCTGTTGGTTATAAGTACTGACAAATGGCTTCTATTCCACTGATTAGTGTCTGTTTGCTGACTCCTTGTCTTATTACATCAAGTACATAGGTCTTCAGAATCTCATACAACGAAATGAGCAATTATATGGCTCAGGAAATGCTCCCAGTGGAGGTGTAGCCTTACCTTTTATTCTTGTACAGGTATACTATCTTCTGAATTTTTTGGTGAATCTGTTCACTTGAAATTCTTCCTCATTTTTTCTTGATCTGAATATTCTTTGTAATATGTTGACTTAATACAAATGTCTGACATCCCCACCTACTGGGATAAAGCTTGTTGTTGTTGTGTTGAAATGTCTGACATGGTTTTTGGGGGGTTATCTTTCTCATCATATTTGCTGTAAAATATTTTATATACTAGAATCATATCATTAGCTAACAATTTTAGTTCGCTGAACTCTCAGGCCATCTTTTCAGCATTTTATTCACATTTTTATGTTGTGGATTATGGTAGGAATCATAGTTATTGAACTTAGAAGACTTCACCTTGTTAAAATTTAATGAAGGGTCAGATTTTAAAGGAAGGAAGAAATTTTAAATTAGAAAATTTACATAATAATGTTGTGTGGCTCTCAAAGTATTTTCTGATAGTCTTTCTGATTCCCCTCGTCCCCCAATTTCTTGAAACTGTAGACTCGTCCCCATGCAACTGTTGAAGTGGAAATATCAGAAGATATGCAGCTTGTACATTTTGATTTCAACAGGTGAGAAAGCTTCTTTGGATAGCCAATATTGTTTTTGAAAGCATGGGTGGGTTTATCTGATATCTTTCCTTTTGCCTAGAAAAGAGTTTATGGATAACGAGTAAAAACATATGATCAACCCAAAACCATGAATATAAGCGTGAAGACATTAGCTTATAAGGGACACTCTTCCTGAAATCCACAAGTAAGCAAACTCTTTCATTCCCTTCTAACCAAAGGTACCTCAAGCCTGCAAGCTAAGCACACTGCCAAAGGACTTTGCACTTCTTATTCTGCTCAAAACCAATGAACTTTATGCCTGAAGTCACTTATAGAACAGCCAAAGAAACAAAATGTTGATTAACTTAAATCACCTATCTTCCTATTCATGTCACTTCAAAATACAGAAAAAGAATACTCCTTAGTTCTATTTATAAGTCACTTCTAACTGTTATACCGAAACTAAGAAAAACCTCAGAACTCATTAACCCTATCTAAAAATCTAATAATTTTTCAACTTTGTCCCTATTAAATATGCATACTTTAACAATATATTTTCTTTCTCCAACATTCATTAGAGGGTAAATAGGACTAGGGGGAGTATTTTGTCTCTGAAGTCTGAACATCCATTGTTATTGTAGCCATATTGGGCCTGAATCTGAAGCAGGTCATTTGTATTAATTCTATTAACAATTGTAGTCCAAATAAAAACCTCAGAGTCATAGGGATCCTCGGTCTTCCATAAAGACTTGGTCAAAGATAATTTATGGATTTTGATTTCAGATAAAAAAGCTCAATAATGAACAAGCATGTGGACGGCAAACCCAAAGAATTCAAATGTCAAATCATTCCTCCTATCATGCAAAGAACCAGGGAACAAGCCAATGGATTTTAAGAACAAATCAAGATCACCAGCAGCAACTCTATCATTGATATATCTAGAGAAACGAACATCCCGGGATGATATATTGTTTTGAGTGATTAAGATAAGTCAGAGGTGGTGCGAGTTGATGAATAAAAAGGTTGAGGATAAAGTTTAGATGTTGAAGAAATTAAGTAACATTTCCAACTTGATTATAATACTTTTCTTTATGGGCTGAATGTGAAAATTGATTGGTTTAGTAGTGTCATAACGTAGTCAAGAATAGGAAATTGCTATATCCTATTAATAGGTAAATGCAGAGGTTGCAAAATTTGGGTTGAAAAACGTGGTCAAGAGTTTAAGACTGCTGAGGTGGTAGAATACTCATGCGAACAAGTAAATGGCCGTGAACTCATGTAAACTTGCTTCACCCAACTAGCTTAATTTGGTTAGGCCCGAAAAAAGGGCATAATTGGGAGGGATCGCCTCGTCAATCTCTTGCCCTTTTCTTGTCGTAAAGGCATTTCAGCCATGGCTCATGAAAGATCTTTATGTGCACTTAGCTCTAATATTTCATACAAACAACCAAAATGCTGAAGCAACAACATTGCATACAAGAATAGTAGTATTGCTACATAGTAGTGTTGCCGCATGATAATATTACTACCTTTTGGATGTTGGATGTTCAACCAATGCCAAGGTATCTCAGGCTTTCTTTTGAATCTTATTTGCACTCGACTCCAAAATTTCATAGAACACCCCACACGACACAATCTACAAAGACATAACAAATTGGGCAAACGTGAATGTCCATAGCATATGCTGGTTTTAGATCCAGTAAGACTTGCTCTAGAATACCTAACTATGCTTGCCCTTGCCAATTTTCACATCTAAATTCGTCTTAGCTGTAAAATTCATATTCTTATCATGTCCGTAGTAAACCCATTTTAGGGTAAGTATCTATGGGTTTCATGATATTTTTCTTCATTTAACCATTTTTGGTCAAGATTAGTATTTTCAAACCACTAGGTTTTCCATGCATGTCAAACATTCTAAATTAACCAAGGGCGGCAACACTTTAAATTATGGCTAACAGGCATCAAAATCTATTTTTAGAAATGACATGTTCTAAGCAAATCCCTCTAAATCTTGAAAATTCAGTGATGGCTGCAATTCATGAATCAAACTCATCCTTATCATTAAATCACTTATTAGGGCCTCTCATTACCCAACTTAGCTCGAGAATAATCATCCTTGAGCAAATACAAGTCACCTGAAATTGGAAACTTTACAAAAACTAACTAAAATTTGTTTTTATTTCCATTGTTTATTTTCCATCGGGGGAAACATCATGTCTAAATTACATCACTAATGGAGAAAGCTTTTTTGTCCATGTTGGGAAGTGCATCCCCCCACCTCCTTTATGTCTTTCACATCTGAAATTTTAAATTTTCAAAATCTTTCATTTTTAATCTAAGCATACTTTCTCCTCTCTGTCCGCAGCACCCCTTTTGAGCTACATGATGACAACTATGTCCTCAAGGCAATGAAATTTTGTGAGAGACCACAGAATGATAATATGACACAAAATCTTGCCGACGGCGGTGAAGGTTCTAGCATGTCAGGCTTGTATCAGGCGCAGGTCACTCCGTCAGTTTCAAACCAACCGGTTAGAACTCCGACCTCGCCACCTCTCCCTGGAATCTTGAAGGCAAGAGTTAAGCACGAGCATTGATCTGCAATTATATTCCGCCCCTCTCGCTTTATTTTAGCATGTCTATATACTTTTGTAAAGTAGTTTCTTGTTAATCAATACACCTTCATGACGGTTAAGAATACAGCCAGCCCAGTCACTCTGTAGGGTTAGTCAGTCACAGATAGCCACCTGTGTTTTTAACTTCTAAGGAGTCGTTTCTGGCTAATTTTTTACCAGTGTCCACCGTATGTACCAGTATAGGATTAATTTTGGAATTCACTCTGGTGTAAATTTTAACTTGTGTCGATCTTTGTTGGTTTATTTTTTTACTTCTGGCTGTGCACTTCCACTCAAGATAAGTTGGAAATGTTTAGCTGCACAATCTTTTGGAAGGTTTTCAGACAGGATAATTGGCTATGTAATTACCTTAATCTGAATGTCATTGAATTATAAATCTGAATCTAGATGGATTCACCCATCGTACAATCCAAGCATTCCGTTGTTCTCAGTTGTAAATTTAAGCATTTTCTCAAGTATTTTTTGACTTGGCCTCAATAATAAAATTAACCCACTGGGATTATCATAAGACACTCCCGAAAACGTCTCGAGATGAATTCTCTTTTACAGCGGGCCATTTGAATACTTGATGAAACTGCTTTGGCTGGGCAGCCATCCTCTGATACAATTCAGGGGTCTCTCATGTTATCTTAATTTATGATTATGAAAAAATTGATCATTTGATTCTTATAGTTTTGATTTATTGAAATTCAGTTTTAAAACTTTGATTTAGTGCAATTGAGTCTTTATAATTGACTTTGAAATTCAAATCCTTATATTTTACCTAGGTACGATTTGGTTCTTATAATTTTAATAATTTAAAACATTAAGTTAGTCTTTTAAGTTTCAAACAGTACTTCATCTAGTTCAAAATATAAGCAATTTAAAAAAAAATTCACATACTAATAAAGTTTTTATTTGAAAAAATTAATCTTTTAATCTTTCAATTTTTAACTCACTAATAACTAAGTTTATCAATTATGACTCGTTGCGACTCAATTCCTCAATTATAACTCACTGCGATTCAATTTTTTAACTTTTAATTCACTTATAATTTAGTTCTTATTTTTTATTTTTTTAAAAAATTTTTCTTATCAAACATGAGGAATAAAAAAATGCTCATATATTATTTTAAAATACCCTCTTCTTATTCTTTAATGTAAAATCTAAGCTAACATGAAAAAAAAAAGAATTGACAAAAGTTAAGAGATTAAATTATAAGTGATTCAAATGTTGAAGGATTAAGTTATAGGCGAATCATAGTTGAAGGATTGAGTTACAGCGAGTCATAATTGAGAGATTGAATTACAAGTGAATTAAAAGTTGGAGAATTAAAAGATTAATTTTCTTTTTTTATTTTTATAAAAATATATATTGCTTTTTGTTTTTGACTTCTAGTCCCAAATATCAATGCATGATAAGTTAGGGATAACTTTGCATGAGGATTTATGTTAATAAATACAAGAGGAAAATGAGAAAAAAAATTATATACATTGGATTACTTATATTTTGAATCAAAATTAGTTGAGAGTGAGTTTATTTTTTATAATTTTATTGTCTAAAATATATGAATTAATATTTTAAATAATGAAAACTATAAGGATTGAGCTGTCTCAAGTTAAACAATGAATGAAGTTCAATGGTATCAAACTATAAAAATTGAGTTATGTTATGTTAAAGTTCAAGCATTAAGCTCTAGCTGAATAAAATTTCATGAATTAAATGATTAATTTTTTTTAGTTTGAATTTGAATTCGGATATGATAAATTTGACTACTTTAATCTCTAATTCTTGAGATGGAGAATGATGAATGAGAGTAGTTAATCCCTGTTTTTCTGCTTTGCCTTTTAGTTTCTGGTTGTAATTTTTTTTTTTAGCTCAGTAATAGATTTCCAGTTGTAATAATAATAATAATAATAAAGAATTTGACCACCTTCGTTTAGACCTCTATCTATGCTCCTTTGAAGTGGAGGCTTGCAGGATCAGTCTGGATTCTTTCAAGTTTTAACACACTCTCCATCTCTTGGGTGTCATTTATCGAGGCTTTTGACATGAAAATTAAGAAGAAAAAAAACGAATATATAACGAGTAATTTAATTTTACTAAATTATTTTTTCATAGGTGAAATGATAATAAGTATAGAAGACTGTCCATGAGTATCATTATCAATCAATCATTGAAAGAGGAGTCTCTCCATTTTTTTTTTAACCATCATTTTCCTCCCACTTTTTAATTATGACCATTCATCAATAATCATTATTATAAAAAATGGTAAGAAATTATATTATTTCTAAATTGTGAGCCATGAGATTCATCTTAAACTACATGAAAATATACAAGGCAGTTGAAGGTAGGAAGAAGACCTAACATGATTTGTATGAGGAGTTGAGCTTTCCTAAATGAAACGACATTATTTTTAGGGGCCGTTTAGTTGCTGATAAAGAAGGGAGCGAAATAGATTAAATCAATAAAAATAAACAACAGAATGATCAAGATGTGGAACATGCCCAATGAGATAAATATGTAAAATTTAGAGAAGACATTATTAAGTTATTTAAAATTTTATCAATTCTCTTTAGATGGATATATTTGATAATTGAAGATGCTGTATATCTAAAATTGTAGTAAATGCCAATATTATGATTATAATTTTGTGCTTTGAATATAATAACAATCTGTGTGTGTGTGTATCTAAAAGATATATAATTAGTTGGCCAAAAAAAAACATAAGAACTATTCCAGCAGCTGAAAAAGTTTGATTCATATTTTATGTTGATTCAACCATTAAATATAATTTATTATGGAAGATAATTTATTCTCTTAAATTCGCCAGGAGATTTTGTTACATTATGAGGATTTGAATCTTTAACCATTTCTAAGATATAATATTTATTCCAGGTAAAAAAAGATTTAATATTTATTCTTCGTAATTAAGCTAGTCTTGAATGAATATCATTGAGTTCTCTCTATTTTTTTTTAAATTGATCACTTAATTTTTTTAAGCAATAATAAAGTTAAATTATACAAAACTCTCCTAAACTTTGAATCATATATAAATAACCCCCTTAACCTTTAAAATTTTAAAAGAATTAATCTTTTAGTCCTTCAACTTTTAACTTACTTGCAATTCAATATCTCAATTATGACTCGCTACGACTCAATCTCTCAACTTTTGATTCACTTCTAACTCGATCCATATTTTTCAAATTTTCTTAAAAAATCATCCTTATTAAATAAAAGGAATAAAAGAAATACTCATTAATTGATTTAAAATATCCTCCTCTTACTCTTTGATGTAGAATCTAAGTTAATATGAAAAAAAAAGAATTAACAAAAGTTGCGAGACTTAATTATGAGTAAGTCAAAAGTTGAAGAAATGAGTCAAAAGCGAGTTAGAGTTGAGAAACTAAATTATAAGTGAATTAAAAGCTAATGAGCTAAAAAATTAATTTTTCCAAAACTTAATAATAAACCTCCTTAAGCTTTCATATTTATACAAATAATCCCTAACCATTAATTATATACTCACTTTAACTTTATTTTCGTGTGAATTTAAGCCTTCAAACTTTGATTGATATACATATAACTTCCTAAACTTTAAGTTATTTGTAAATAATTAATATATACAATTAATCATACAAAGTTATTTGCATAAATATAAGAGTTGAGGGGGTTCCTTGTAAAATTTTGAATGTTAAAGAAGTTATGTGCATGTGATTCAAAATTCAGGGTATAATGTATAATTTAGCCTACCAACAATTACCCACAATTTTTTTAGTTTAAAAAGAAAAACTTTTGATATATATTAAAAAATAATTTCTATTAAATATTCACTCTCATTTTCTTATTTAATTTCTTCCTCTTTTATTTTTTTTGAATTTTTTATATAAAAGTTTAGGTGAGTTGAATATAAAAACTTCACTCAATGGTGAGATTTGAATATGTGGCTCGTGGGCTAGAAGCTAGGTGCATGTTTGGATGGCATTTTAATTAATTATTTGAGGCAAAAAATTGATTTTTGCCAAAATTATTCAAACACCAATTTATCCAAAAAATTAATTTTTGCCAAAAAAAATTTTTTTGCTCAAAGCTTCTAGATTCAGCTTTTGAATTCAGATCATCTACGAAATATGAAAAAATTACAAGAAAGGCTCAAGAAAAAAGTTACAATAAAACCACAAAATTTAATAAATCTAAAACGAACTCTTTTTTTTATTTGTTTAATAAAATTCAAACTTTAAATTCTCAAAAAAATTAATAGCATAAGTTTCTGTCAACTACCACTCTCCACTTAGCACTTTTTATAAAACTAATTTAATTAAAATATTAATTAGTAGAGAAAAATTAATTTAATTTAATATAAAAATTGTTACAAAAGTCTAGAGAGATATTTTGCATTATTTACTACATTGTTACATTTTTTATGTTACCAAAATTTTTAGGCAGTGCTTAGCATCTTTATTAAATATTACTCATATTTATGATGTCATTACAGATTAAATTGTATATCATCATCTTCATTAATTATTGTAAAATTGATGTTTGGTATTTAAAAATTAAATATTTTTCTTTTATTAAATTTATTTTAACTAAAATATATTAAGTTATTCATTTATGTAAATAAAAATTGTTAATATTAATATAATTTAAATTTTTATAATTAATTAGATATATAATTTTAAAAAGCAATGTCTCTTATGATAATTTATACAGTCAAAATTAATTCTTAATGAATTATTCATATATCTTTAATTCTATTAAAATTAATTTTTAAAAAATAATATTTAAAAAAATTATATTATAACATAATCAATTATAATTAAAATTTAATATTTAATTAATTTTTTTATAATTTATTATATTTAATTAAAATTTAAACGGACACTAAAATTAGTTTTTGTTTTTTTTGTTTTTTGGTGAATTGAGTATAGGTGTTTAAACATGTGTAAGTCCATTTAAATTTGGGCCCATGAAGTCCTGATCGAAGCCTAGTGAGAGGAACACAGTCATTCCTCGTTCCGAAGATCAATTCCGTCGACCAGTACGGATATCGGCGAAGCTCTTCCCCTGTGAGTATCCGTCGCTTCTATCTCCTTTTTAGCATTGCTTCATGAAGCTTTGATACAATTCAGGATACATATTCGTTTAATATGTTTTCCTGTTTTATTGGAATTGTTCTATTGCTAACTCCTTTGCGGTTCCTTCTCGATCAATTCTGCTAACTTGCTTGTTTTTGTTGATTTCGATTTTTTCAGGTAGGCTTTCTCCGAGTCAGTAATTGCTGGTGGTTTCCTCTGCTGATTCTCTCCCAGAAATGGCGTCAAGTCTGTTCAAGACACTCGTTCAATCTTCCAAATTGTCATTAACCACAAGAAGTTTAAGTCTTGTACGTGGTCAAGTCAGCAACCACACCGCCAAGTGGATGCAGGTAATCAATAAATTTTTTTTTTGAGCAGAGGTCATCAATAATTCATTAAAAATCAATTAGTAGGATTTTTCCCCCTAAAAAATGCTTCTCAGATAAGGATTTCTATGTTGTCGTGTAGATGCGATCCGTTGCTGTCTGAAATCCTTGATAGTTCATCTGGTTTCTTTTAATCCCATATAACGGTATAAAGTTGGCACTGGAAGGCCCATAAAGTCTAGTGGGACCTGTCCTTTGAGGCCAAGAACTAGGATGATGACGTTATGCATAGGATACAAGTAAGGTGGATGAAATGGTGGAACATTGGGAGTTCTTTGTGATTGCAAGGTTCCTACGAAATTTAAGGGAAATTTTATGGAATTGCTAATTTGCTATAAGGCTCGCAGTGCTATTGCTATATGACAGTGAATGTTGGGTATTGAAGAGGCAACATGAGCACAAAATGGGATTGCAATAAGAAAGGATAAGATATGTAATGATCATATAAGAAGATAAGTTGGCATGACACCTATTGAGGAGAAAATGATAGAAAATATTTTAAGATTGTTTTGGCCATGTGTATAGATGGCCAGTGGCGGTGCCAATAAGGATGGGTCGGCAGATAGTTTTTATCCCTAGAAAGAGAGGTAAGGTTGACCAAGAAGGACATTAAAGAAGTCATTGATCAAGATCCATATGATGGTAACAAGGTTTTAAAAAATGGATTGGACCAACTAGTTGAAAGGAACTGGCTTATGGTCCAATCCTGGATAACCCCAAAAATTGGCTTATGACAAAACTGGTCAAAAACTGGTCAACAATCAGCTAAATCAGTCATCATCGGACCAGTTCTGGTTTAGAAAACCGAACCAAAATTTTTTAGAGAAGTCACCAGATGAAATATTGAAGATTTTTGGACCAAGAGTTGCAATTTCAGCTGAAAGCAACTCAATCCACGTGCACCACTTTCACTCCCGCTCACCCCTTTTTTATAATGCAACAAATGAGCTGGGCTGCATAGCTGCAGTGCTCAGCTAGCCTGGAAAAAGAATTATTGCTTGTTTTATTGTTTTATTAAATTACTTTGTTGATGATTAAAGGAGCAGGAAGGGAAACATTTTTGACACATCCACAATGGTTTAATTTAGTGCATTTTTGGAGATTGAGATGAGAAATTGTGGGAGACACTTCTGATGAATTTGTTTTATTTAAAAGTTAAAACTAAAATCATAGAGTAACATGATGAAAATATGAAAGCATAAAAATTAGTTTGTGCAGTATCTCCCCTTGTTTGTGTGCTTTGTATTGTGAATATATATGTAGTGATATGGCTTTCACTCTGAAAATTATTCAATATCAGACCAAGATTAATGAAATTTGTTTGACTTTAATTGGATTGCATTGTTTTTGCTAGCTCTTGTCCCACCATGTGGAAACGATTGGATAAATGCAATATCTAGCTGTATCAGTTGACTGTTCCGTGAGCTGTAAACGTTATGGAAACTGTCAAAATCTATTTTTATAGGAAAGGAATGGTTCTTTTTATCTTATGAATACCAGGATTACATCTATTCTTCTGAAAAATTGACATTTGAAGCCATTTCTTGTGGTTCATGACCATTTTTAGAACTCAATGTCCACTTTCACTGACAATGTGTGAAGTAGTAGACAAGTTAGGAACTTGAGGTTGTTGCCCGCATGATGTAATGGAATATGTGGCTGACCTAATGTTATTGAACATTAGCGTCTCCTTTCAATTGACTCCAATCTTGTTATTTCTTATTGTGTTGTTGACTTATTGTGCTTTGGTTATATGGGTTACTTTCCAGTATTAAATTCTTTACTTGCTTGCTGAATTGAGCTCTGAATGTTGTAAAACTTATACTGCCTTTTTAAATAGGATACGAGCAAGAAATCCCCAATGGAGCTGATTAATGAAGTTCCTCCTATCAAGGTGGAAGGCAGGATTGTTGCTTGCGAAGGAGGTGAAACTTCTGCAAATTCTGATATCCTTCCTTTCTGCCCGACATCATTCCAGTGAAGTTAAAATTATGTCAAAGGATCTAAATCTTCAAACATTTAGCTGAAAAGATTTTTTTTTTTTTTAAATCTTCAGTAGTTTCAAAGACTAAAGTTACTACCAGGTTTTACGTGAGTTACTATCAAGTTGTTATCAGATTCTTGGAAGGTTGTAGTTTCGTATAACTTTGTTACGAGTTGCTTAAAACTTGGTATTTACTTTTAACACCTGGCGCAGAACCTAGTAGTAACTTTAGTTTTTGAAAACAATAATTATTTTTAATGTCTTTAGACCTAATTTTCTTAGGTTGTGTCCTTAGATATAATTTTATGCACGCCAGCGTCTGTATACTATTATATTGCAGCTCTTATCTACTGCAGCTAAATTATCACCTCGAAAGTAGGAAGATAACTAATTTGGATGCTGCTCTTCATGGTTGCAGATAGCAATCCCGCACTTGGGCACCCAATTGAATTTATATGCCTTGACTTGGCTGAACCCGCTGTCTGCAAGTATTGTGGCCTGCGTTATGTTCAGGACCATCACCATTAGAACCTGTGATTGGCAAGTATTATAGATCTGGATTTTATGATATTGTTCATGGTTGAAATTCATGTTTCCTTGGTTGCAATGTTTCTGACTAAAGATGATGTTGTAATGATGATGATACTCCTGTGTTAGCATCTTCTGAAATAATAAGACAATGTTCATGCGTTTACCACTTGCTTACAACTGTGTAATGACTTTTGAAGCGATGAAGTGTTGCATTGTTCTGCAAAAACTATATTTTTCCTACGCTAGTATACTACAAAAGTCATTATTTTATTAACATAATAATAGTTATGACTATAAATATGATTATTCAATAATCAAATGTTGTCCCATGCATTGCATGGGTTATGGTCTAGTTATGAATGAAATGGAATAATTGTGAATGATGGAAATGACTGAGAACATGAATCCCTTTGATTCAACTCCATTACAACCTTGCAATAGTAATCTTCATTGCATTACCATGAAAAATGTTTGGTTGCTTTTTTATAGTGGTAATGGTGATAATTAATAATCACCAAATCTATGATTCCCCATTAGCATCCTATCCTCTACCATGTTCTGGTGAAAAGTCAGAGTTACCTTCTTAACAACAACAACAAACCTTATTCTATTAAGTGGGGTTGGCTATATGGATTGTATAATGTTATTGTGCTTTGTCATTTATCAAGCTTTTAGTATTGGATATGTAACTTATATTACTGGGCCTATCTCTGACCTAATTTTCCTTTTTTCTCCTCTCATCTTGTAACATTCTTTTCAGAGTCTTTAATTAGATTTATATTATTAGAGATTTTAGGAGAGTGTTTAGGGATTTAATTAGATTCACTCTCTCCTATCCCTACCTATATATTTATCGGGTCCTTCTCTATGAAATGCAAGTATTATTTAGTCCAAATAAAGTTTCATTTTGGAATATTGTTAACTAAGAGGTCTCAGTCAACAATTTCCATTAGTATTTTCTTTGACCTTTTTTTACTTCTCTTAATAGGGCTTAAAATTATCCATTTTACTCTCTTTATAGAGGCCTCCTGTAGTTTTTTTTGTATATATCAAAACCATCTCAAACAGTTTTCTACTATTTTTTTTTTTAATAAGTGTTACACTCACTTTTTTTTATATATTTTCGTTTTGAATTTTATCTATATGTGTATGCTGAAATATCCATCTCAATATTCTTATTTCTATTATTTTAACTTTATGTTCTTGTTGTAATTGCTGAATTAATATTTACTATTAATTCCTCAAAATTACTCCAGTCGTGGACCGTGGTTAGCAACTTAGCATGTTCTTTGATGCCCCACCTCCACCACCTCGCCCTGACAATGCTAGAGCCTCCCCCTACGCCAACGCGGACGAATCCCAACCAAGTTTGCCCTTAGCAGCTTCTCCTCCAACCTCTGCCATGACCCCACCTCTGGCCCCCACCTATTTCCACCACCATGTGTGTGTTACAGATTGTTTGGCAATGGAATAAAACAAAAATGTGGTTCAGATTCAAGTTTAATGTTGTTGTGCATTGCATTTGGTTGTCATAGATAGAAATAGGAAGACCTGTGTGGGGAGGAGCCTGCGTCTACCTTAGGTGAATGGTTGAAGGAAAAGAGTGGGAGTGAGAAATTGTGTGGGGGCATGGTGGTCTTTTCATTCTCTTCTTAATATAATTAATTATGAAAATCAATTTTTTTTTTTTATAAATTTTGGGGAAAGACAATGAGGCTTAAAGCCCAAAAGAAGAAACCAGAAAAAAAAAATTATGAAAATTAATTTCATTGCGACATTGTTTTACATAATACCAAACAAAGCTACGGTAATTAATACTGCGTCAAGGAAGAATTAGTGATTTTCAATAAAATTTTCTAAAAAATTCATGGTAGATATTAATTCAGCAATTACAGATAAAAATTGCAATTATAAAGCAAAAGTTATATTTAAATTTAAATATTTTCATTTATAATTAAAATTCTTGGATTTAAAATTTTTTGAATTGATATTTATAAATTAATTTTTATTTTTTAATCAAAATCATAACTGGTATTAATTTTCTATTTTAAAATTTAACTGTTATCACGCCAAAAGGTAAGCAATTCAAACAAAGAAACAAAAAAAAAAGGAGGTCAAATTCTTTTTTTGGGAAGGATAAGGAGCTCAAATTCTTGTAAACTCTATATTTTACACACGAAATAATATATATATATATATATATATATATTGAAATGCGTTATATACTAATCAACCCGGCCATTCGGCTCAAAACTCTGCGTATCATATTTGGTTAGCATATGACCATATTATTTTTAATTCATAGTCAACAATATTCCATCTTATAATGTTTTGAGACAATTAATTTATATGTTCTTATAGTTTGGCTTAATTTTGAATTAAGTTCTTGTAATTTATTTTATTTTAATCAAACCCTTATAATTTGATCTATTATATATGTTAATCCCTAAAAATTAAAATTAGCAATAAATTATTAAGTTTTACAAAACAAAAATATTCTTGAAATTTACAGAAAATTTAATTTAATTCTTTTAGTGAAAATAAAAAAATTAATTTAATACATTATTTACATTTTTATTAATCTTTTAATGAAAATTGTATATGTATAAAAAAAATATTTAGAAGACAACCTAATTACATAATTTTAAATTTTAAAAATTATGTGATTAATTTTAAAATTATATAATCATTTAATTAAAAATATAAAAATTCTTAATTTTATTTTTTAGAGAAAAAATTTAAATATTTAAATTTTTAGAGATTAAAAAATTTAATTAATTTAATTATAAAACTTTAATTAAAACAAAATTAATTATAGAAACTTAAATTAAAATTAAGTAAAATTGTAATAACCAACAAATATATATTTTTTTATTTTTTTTTTTATTTTTTGACAAAACTCATTCCACAACATCATCATCTTCTACTTTATAAATTATAATTACAAGTATTTCCATTTTCAGTTTGATTAACTTTCAGAGGACAATTTCTATTTAACTTCTTTTTTCTCTTCCTCCTGAAAATTAGCAAAACTCAAAAAAAGACCGCCTTTTGCTGCACGAAACCCAGAAACCCTACCAAAACCCTACCAAGTTGTTGTTCTTGTTCACTTTCGCTTCCTTTTCCATGGAAGCTCAACCCTTGTATGCTCTTACTCAAGGGTTAAACATCTCCTAAACCACCCCTTTGCATTGCATTTTTCCCATTTAGCTCTGCAACATACTTTCCTTTTTTCATTTTCGATTCTTTGTTTGAATCATCTTTCTCATCGTCATCCATAGAATATAATGGCCAAAACTTACACAGCAGGTTTACTCTCAGCCATGGCGGCTGTAGCTGCTGTTTCTCAGAACAACCATGCCTATGCGGAGGGTCCTTTCAAATTTCCTTCGTTTTCGGGGTTTCCATCTTCACCCAATGTTCCTCAGCCTTCTTCTTCTTCCGATCCCAAGTTGCCGCCGGCCGCCAATTTGCCTCAGGATAGTCCTCTGCCTCCTCCCAAGGTTCGGAATGATCACCCGAGGACCTCGTCTGCTGGTTTTGATCCGGAGGCGCTGGAGAGAGGAGTGAAGGCGCTAAGAGAAATTACAAGTTCACCCCACGGGAAAAAGGTTGGAAAATTGTGGGGTTTTTTTTTTTAAATGGTGATGATAGAATGCTGGCTTTATTGTACCATTTTCATTAATTTTCTTTGTAACGCGCAGCCATTGATGTTGATAAAAATTTCTCATATATATATATATATATATCTTCTCCTAACTGTATTTTGATTTTTGTTCTTTTCAAAAATGGGTGCTTGAAAGGTACATTGTGATTTATTCATTTATTCTACTGATATGGCTTGTTGAATTGTTTTTTTTTCAATTGAATCTTTGATGATTGCAAATATGTTTTATTTAATTATTTATTTTGTGGCTGTGTTATAAATAAACACATTTCGAAATTATTTATGTTTTTGAAAAACGAAGAGTAAGGTAAGGGAAAGAGCAGCAAGAATAAGTTAATCTTAAGTTTTGACGAGCATTGGGTCTTATTGGCCCTTCCGGAATTTTTACTTTTTAGGGGAGCTTAATTGGTTGACAACTTGACATTTGAAGTATGAAGAACACTTTTTATTCTGAAGTCCGTTTCAATTATTTTCCTGTATCCTCTCCCCTTTAAGGAGGGCTCCCTGTCCTCTATCTTGTTGTGCCTCTTACCTCTTCTACTGTAATGTTCTTTGTTCTCCTTTTGCACAACTAATGAAATAAAGCTGCTATGCAATTTATCCTTCATTTAGTTGTGCCTGTGGGAGGTAAAGTACCAGTGGTTTGATTGATGAAGTACAAGCAGAGAAGTATAAAAAAAGTGAAATACTCAGATCTTAGATTTTCTTTTTTAACGTGAAATATGCATTATTTTGTTTTCTTAGTATGTTTTAATAAAATGAAGTTCTGTGGTAGCTCTTGAATTGGTTTTTTTTTTTTTTTTAAAGGTCTTTGACGTTATAAAAAAGCAAGAGGAGACAAAGCAAGCAGAACTGGCTGCAAAGGTTGCAGAGTTTAAACAAATGCAAGCACAGCATGAAATTGTAAGTGGCTCCTGAATTCAGATAACTATAGCCTCCACTTGAATTTGTGACTCAGTAAAGAGCCGTGTCATTGATTTTTTGACTTTATGGTCTACATGATACACATAACAATGCGATTGTACTGGCTGGAATTAGAATACCAAAATGCATAATTTGTCTTTGTATGAACTTAAAAAATTTACTGAACATGCGTTTTATTGTTAGAGATTTATTGGTTAGATCATAAACTGTAATATTCTCTTTACTGAATTTGGCCCTTTTTTAAGCTGTGATGTTCTCTTCTGTATCGTTTCTTAATTGGTGGTCTCATACACCTTTTTGTTTCCCAATCTCTTTTAGTTGTGGAGTTGTTACTTGTTACTGCTGCATGTTTTGTAAACTCATGGTCTAAAATTGTTAATTTTTGTTCATTTATTCTCCTTTTATGACTTCACATGAGCCTCGATCTTAAGAATTGATCTTGCTGGTGCTCAAAGATGGATGATAATGGTGCTCTGGCCTCTATGCTGGGTTTCTACTTCACATGGAAATATTATACATTTTGTTTCTTTTTATTTTTCTCCCTTTGTATGACCCTGGTTTGCTTTTGTTTG